TTTATTAATTAATTTCAGTTAATTAACCACAATTATAAGCATGTATGCATGTTAATTTTTACTGTAAAAATGTACGGTAGTTGACAGTTTTTATATTTGTGTACTAGTGCATTACTTGGTGATTTCACTTGCAAATTGTCAATCGCTAAATACAGTATGCATGTATATGTACAGATGTACATGTAAAAAATGGCTCTGAAATCACCCCAAATTTTTATTACATTTTCTGATACATATTGATGTCTTTGTACTGTGTAGAAATTTGGAGCTGATTCTGACTTCAATTTTTTGAGTTACGGCCATTAAAAATAACTGACAATAATTCTAAAAAATGCCCATGGTTTTTCCAAAAAATGGCTCCGAAATCACCCCAAATTTTTGTTACATTTTCTGATACATAATAAAGTCTTCATGCTGTGTTGAAAGTTTGAGCTGATTGCGATTACAGAAAATTAGGAAAATTGACAGGTTATTATATAAAATAGGGTTCTTGTTGTAAAGTAATGCTTTGTGTTGTGAATAATTAATTTTCAGTGTATACCGTATAGCGGGTAATTTTTTTGGTGTTTTATTTTTGTGATTTTTGTGGTTTGGAGGCTTCCCACGAAATTTAAACCCACTAACTCATTGAAGTGCCATCCCCTTACAAGCTATGTAAACTGTCAACCATGAAAATTAAATCACGAATTGCCCCTCTAGGAGCAAACCATAAAAATTTAAACTCACTAAAATAACCCGCTATACGGTATTGCTGATACAATAATTAATACTATCAGTATAACAATATGTCCTCTTGATGATCAATGTATTGATGATATTGTACATCCTTATATGGTATGTGTGTGTGTGTATAATTTGTCATTTCCTCTCTCTCTTTCTCTTCTCAGAATTCTGATGTACTGGTAAAACTGTGTGGACATATTTAAATATTAATTTTTTATCATCTCTTTTATAAACAGTTTTATTAAAACTAATAATATTATTATTACTATTATTTTTGTAATGTAATTTTATTTTTCTTTGTCTTTTTCTTTCTTTTTATCTGTTCCTTTTTGTGAGAAATATATTGAGAATGGAAACAAGACTGACTTCCTGAAATGGAGGAAGGTCAGCTAGAGAGGGAAATAGAAAGAAATGATGACAACAAAGAGAGAGACAGTGACATGAGTGTGTGTCAGTAAGAGAAGGAATGTACAGTATATACTGGAGAAGGAGAGAGAGAGAGATAGATGAGAGATCAAGAGATGTTTATGTGTTAGATTTATGATACTATAATGTGTCACTGGTCCACCTTTTATCATGTAAAGTGTATTGTATCCTATGAATTGGTATAATAATTTTTGTATATAAAAGAGATTTAATAAGTTCACCTGAAGACTGATTAGTACAACCAGTGAACTCTGTCTTGTATGAGGTGATAGTTAGAATAAGTACTAATACAAGTCTCTTTGTGTTGCTTGTCTAGCCTGAGTCTCCTTATATTCTTATTATCCATTAGTGACTGGAGGATGAGTAGCATTGACTCAGTAGACAATGAAGTCTTCCTTAGATCCAGTGCAACTAGTGATGAGTTATTGAGGAGGAGGTGAGAAAGAGCCTGTCCACTAGTAGAAGAGATGAGAGGATTTAAAAAAAGATCTAATGAGGTAAGTGTAGAGTTGTATTCAAGTACTCGACAGATATTAGTAACTCCTCTATCACTAATAGAGTGGTACCTGATGACTAGTTTTTGTATTGTTTTATTATTGGTTAGTAGTATACACAAGTACTGGATACAATCATTAGTTAATGGAGTGCGCCATATCTCAAGTCTCCTCAGGTTTAGTGTATGCAGTTTAGTTGATGATAGTAGAGATACTGCACTATTAGTACATAAGTAGTTGAGGTGAATCCTCTGATGATCATCATTAATATTACTAATAACTTCATTGCACTGAAGTAATGATGGAGAGATAAGGTATACCCAATCACTGATTTGTTCTACATTGCCAGGCACTCCTAATATAAAGCAAAGATATACCGATATACATGTATGTACATAATAATATACATATTCACATCATGTGTATATACAAACACACACAACTTGCATAAACAAATACAGACACAGCTAGTAGTTGTCACTGACTGACTGTATTATGTGAATGTGTGTGTTTGTTATAATGTATTAAGTATGAACAGAGTAAAATTTGAAGTAAAATTTGTGAATTAATTTTATACATGCACAATCCCTATCAGTAAGCAAGTACACATGCATGAAATTACATGTACATAATTATACTAATTGTCACAATAATCACAAATATTACCTTTATCATGTTGTTCCTTGTCTTGTCTCAGTGCAGGTATCATAATAGGATCATCATTAATAGTCTCCAAGAAAAGAGAAGCTTTCTCATCATTACTAATTGAATCATTCCTTATTCTCTGTAGAATAGGAAGGGACACTTCTTCAACTGACAGTAGAAACTCTAATAGTTGAAGTGACTCCAACTTTGAGTAAACACAACTGCTAGGAATAAATCCTTCATCACCAGACACCAAGGATCTTCCTTTCCAATAAAAAAAGCCCTCCTTCTCATATATCCTAATTTGCTCTCCCTCACTGAATGATATTTCATCACTTGCTATTGCATGATAGTCATAACGAGCAATAAAAAAAGATTCTTCTGTTGGTTTATTCACTATTTTATCAATATGATACAATAATCAATCAGTTAATGAAATAATGGCACATACTTCTCATTATATCTCTATATTTTTTTTTATTCTCTTCTCTTTTATTTAGTATATGTTCACTCATTAATGATATCTGTTCTTGTAGATCAGCTATTTCTCTCTTAATACCTATTAATGATTCACTCTGATCCAGTAAACCTATCATATAATTATAAATACACTAATACATACATTATGATTCAGTACCACTTTTATTTGTTAATAACAATTGCAAATGATCTATTTCCATTTTTATTCCTCTTCTGATTCTGTATGATGCTATAACAAATAATAATAATAATAATAATAATAATAATAATGATAATAATAATAATTCTAAACTGAACTAGTATTTCTTGGTAAAAAAAGACATTGTTGAATTTCCTTTACTCTCATTTCTACATTATTTCAATTATAATTATAATTAATAAAGTTTATTTATACTTACTTGTTAGTGTTTCTTCTAATTGTTTGCTTGTTTTATTTTCTTTTATTAATTGTCTATTAATTATTGTCACACTTGTATCAATTGATAGTATATCTGAAATATTTATTCATCAATGAATAATACTGGTCAACAACTATTACATTAATGTATTATTATACCTTGATTAATTACTGATTGAGGTGCTGCTCCTCCTGTTTCTTTCTCCTCCAGTCTTGCTACTCTCTCTTCCTATTAAGTTAGTTTAATAAAATAATCAAACACAAATTATTATACCTTTAAATCATGAGGTTGTTCCTTTATCTCCTGTACCTCCTCTTGCAGTGGTTCCAGTATTTCCTTTATAATACAGTATATAATGATAATTACTGACAGTAAATATACACATACTTGTATATTTTCTTTCTTCCATATTGTGCAGTATCCAACAGTAAGCTTCATTAGACCATTCTTTATTAATAATTCAAGATTCTCACTCAATTTTATAATGAGAGCTCCAGTGAGAGAGTGAGGGAAAGAGCAAGTGATGGTGATGGATTGAGTGCTTTTGATGTCGACCAACTTCACAAATTTTCCAGAAGATTTTGATACAATATCTGTGACATCCTTCAGCTTATGCTCAGTAGCTTCCCATCCAAGTACATAAGTAGCCGTTTCACATTTAAGAGGAGGACTGGCCCTAACTACATCAAATGGCTGATTCAAGCACAAATCAACTGATAAATTACAACATGATTCATCAATTTCCCTCTTGTAATCATTGATGTATTTCTGAGCATCATCAATCTCAAAGTGCTCAACAACAGCTTCAAGGATCACAATATTAGCAAGACTGCATTTTTTCCTAATGAGGCGCATGACACCTTGAAGATTTTTTATCAAGCTCAATTCTGTTTCAAGGTCAGAGTCAAAATCTTCAATAAACATTTTAAGATCTTCTAAAGGAGGCGGACATTTTGAAACAACTTTGCGAACATTAGAAAACATTTTAGCAAATTTCGCATAAAGCACATCAAAATCTTGTCTTTTATATTGTGGAATGTAAAGAGGAGCAACTGTAAAATTAAATGTGACTAACAATTACACCCAACTACCACTCACCATTGGTAGGTGTTGATTTATTGGAATCAGAACTTGAAGATTCAGAAGATTCTTGAGCTGAAAATTATCAAATAAAAACTGATTATTAATATTCTATTGATATACTTTCATCATCTAATATCATCTGTGTATTGTCATTAAATGTTTTATCTAAAAGATTTTAAAATTTATTGCATAAGTTATGCTAACTCACCATAGTCTCTTTGTATAGTTGTTCCTAGTTTTATATTACCAGTGAACTTGCACAACACACTAGCAAATGTTTGTAGTAAACTATACTTGCTGTGAATAGCTACTATAATGGCAGCTAACAGGATTTCACGTTGAATAGAAACAGAGGGACTAGCTGATTCAACACTAGCCAATACTTGTCCTGTTATGACACCCTCTTTTTGAAGCATAATAGCTACACTGAGAGGATCAGAGAGAGACTGAGAGAGGAGTGGATGATGAGTGTTGAATATATCAATAGCCTTAGCTTTATGTTCTATAGAATACAGACACACAGTCAATACTAATACAATCAGAGATATTAACTTACTCTTTTGATCTAACTTGTCAGCTACAGCATTCTCATTCATAGATTTAAGAGCATCTGACAATGAGTCAAAGGTAGCTCCTCCTTTACTGTCAACATTATCAGCTCTACACAACCACTTGGAGAGACACTCTGTCAAACATCGAGTTATATCACGTGGAAATATAGCTTCCAAAACATCCAGTGTGTTCTTGTGCAGTCCTAGTTTCAGTCCCAGCTCATACCATCTTGCCTGAGGGAAACCACATCTCTCCAATAGATTTAGTACATCAATAAGTTGGTCTAAAATCATATTCAATGATACATAAATAGTTAATGAACAGTACCAATAGTCAAAGGAGAAGAGAAGAGACACAGAGAAGAAGAACAAGAACTGGTTTTAGCTGCCATTGATCAAAGAACAAGCTATAAACAGGATGCAAACTTTGCAAAGGAATAACAAAGGGAGGGGCTCGGTAACTTTGGGCAGGGTAATTTGACCCTCAATATGACGGCATTGGAACAGACACATCAGGATAGACTTTTCATATTATACAGCCAGGGAAGAGAGATGTAGATGATCAAAATGCTGGAGTTACTAATGACAGCGTAAAATAACGGATGAGGTAGTTTAAATTACGTACATGTATACCAGTACATGAATTTTAGTGAATTATTAGTATATGAATTTGTGACCAGCCCATGGTGCCATTGAGCATTTAGCATAATAATTTATTCATCTATTTAACATGTTAACATAATGTGATGGTGGATTATTATCAGCTAGTAGTATATTTATACTTTATTGTTCTTATCTTTCTCCTCCTATCCTTTCTTTCATTTTCTCTCTCGTAGGAGCTTGTAGCTTTAAAAGGCTCTCATGTATTTAATGTATGTAATGTAATGTAATGCATGTTTCTTAATGTATTTTTTATTAATTTATTGAATAATGGAGAGATTTTGAGCGAGCATGTCATGTTATTTTAATTTTAAATAATCCAGAAAAGTACACAAAGCTAACTTTTTTAAAATTGCCTAAAAGTTTTTATTACATTTTCGGATGCATATTGCTGTCCTTATGCTGTGTAGAAATATGAGCTTATTCTGAATAAAATTTTTCAAGTTATAGCAATTTTAAAAATCAGTAAAATTAATTAATGAAAATTAGCTAAAGCTACTGCTTTTGTTCAGTAAATGGCTCCAAAATTGACCCCAATTTTTATTATAATTATTCAAAATACGAATTAACGTCCTATGCTTTGTAGAAAGTTTGAGCTGATTCTGACATATAATTTTTAAGTTACGGCCATTTTTTAATGCCAAAATTCTGAAAAATGTCCAACTAAGGGTATATATAGCCTATGGTTTTTTCCAAGAAATGACTCCAAAATCACCCCAAATTTTAATTAGATTTTCTGATACATATTGATATAATTATGCTGTGTAGAAAGTTTGAGTTGATTACGACTTAAATTTTTCAAGTTACAGTCATCTTAATAAACTACCAATGTCCTAAAAAATACCCAAGACTATATAGCCCATAATTCTCTTCCAAATAATGGCTCCAAAATCCTCCCCAACTGTTATGGTATTTTTGATGCATATTAATCTCGTCATGCCCATGTGTGAGTCAATTAATACGAATTAAGTTATGATATGGCATGAAGTTAGAAATCAATAAATAAAGCATCATCTCCCCTTGTCTTATACAACTTATTGTACTGTACATTGTTTCTATAATGACAGTAAAATTTCATACCATCAAACATTAACTTTACAACTTGTACAGTACATGCATAAACACTAGTGGAATGACATACAAAAATATTTCATGAATATTAGTTAATATGCTATCGTTGCTACATGAGTAGTGAAGTGAATAATGTAAGTGTTTATTCATTGTATATTTATGATGAGAACAGTTGTTAGTATAGCATCAGTTATAGGTTATCTCTCTCTCTCTCTCTCTTTATTAAAGACAGTGGTTCATAGTGATGGATAATATTAATGATAATTTCACACTAAGTGATGTCATCAATGGCCCACTGCTAGCTGCTGTGTTTGGTACAGGGATTATTTGAGGTCTCATAAATAACTCATTAGTACTGATACTCCTGCCTCTGATATAAAGACTTGGAAGCAACCAACAACCATTTTCTCTCTAACATGCTCCTCAATAACCTGGTCGTTGGGATCTGTATCATTCCGTAACAGCTGCTGTGGGTGAGTGGATATTTGCAAGGACAGAAGATGAGAAAGAAACCGTCAGTCAAGTCGTTAGGTGCATTTTCACATTCAGTATCCTTACAGCAACAGAGAGTCTAGTATTATACTACTCTCCTTTGATAGAACCTGGTCCTTGGAATCTTATTTTTACTATCATAACAGCTGTTGTTGGTAAATGTACATTTATAATGTACAAGTAGCTATTTCAATTCTTTCATTGCATTTATACATGTATAATGTATGTATACATGTGTACATGTACATGTAGTGTCTCTATTATTATAAAAATCTAATTTTTATTGGAATCAGTTCATACTTGCTACACAACATAAGAACATTATAAAAGTAATAAAATTATATATTATACAGATCACATTATCGAGGGAATAAACAAAGTTGATGATGAAAATGATGGAGTTGCAAAATAACAGATGAGGTAATTTAAATGTTCACATACATGCATACGTGTACTAGTATACAAATTTTAGTGAAATTGCGAATTACTGCATAAATTTGTGAATTTGAATTTTTACCCAAGGCTATATTATAGCCCATGGTTTTTCTAAAATATGGCTCCAGAATTACCCTAAATTTTTGTTACATTTTCTGATGCACACTGATGTCCTTATGCTGTGTACAAAAATTGAGCTGATTCCGACTTCAATTTTTCAAGTTACAGCCATAATAATTTTGAAAAATACCCAAGGCTATTATAGCCCAAAGTTTTTTCCAAAAATGGCTCTGAAATCACCTTAAATTTTTATTACATTTTAAAATACAGATTGATGACCTTATGTTGCGTACAAAGTTTGAGCTGATTCCAATTTCAATTTTTGAAGTTATTCCCATTTTAAGAAAATGTCAAAATTCCGAAAAATACCCAAGGCTATAAGCCATTGTTTTTTTCAAACTATGGCTCCAAATCTCCCCAAATTTTTATTATATTTTTTAATACAGATTGATGTCCTTGTGCTGTGTAACAAGTTTGAGCTGATTCCAACTTCAGTTTTTTGAGTTATGGTCATTTTGATGAAATGCCAAACTCTGAATGCTACCTACCCGTATAAAAAAAACAAGGTTGCAGCATGGTTGTGGCAACCTTGTAACAAGGTTGTTGTCACTAGGTGGTCACTACCTGGCCACAAAGCCCGCCCACCACTACCTTGTAAAAACCTGGAATTGTCATGACATGTTTTCCACCTTGTGACAACCTCGTCACAATGAACAATAAATTTAATAGAATAACTATAATCTGAAAGACTATTAACACATAGATATATTGTCATCCTAATCCCTTATAGTTTGAATTGATTTCTAAATACTTCATGTATTTATGATAATTTTATATGTAGCTAATGTATGAAGATGTGTATTGTTCACTAAGCTGTTGTCTAAGAGCGAGAGTGAAATATTGAGCAAACTTTAACTTGAGGCATGGGATGACTTCAATACTCAAGCCCTAGCTTCCTCAACTAATGAAAGGTTGTCCTCATCCCCCATCTCCCTCCCTCTCTCTCTTTTTCTGTCTCTTTTTGTCATACATGTGTTCTTGGCATAAGGAGTGTGGTCAATCTGGCATCATGTACATTTTAATATTATTTTCTCCATTTAATAATATAAATTATTTATTAATAAGCTAATATTTATATGAAATAATTACAAAAAGCCTAGCCTGTTTTTAATAGTTATATAATAAG